AGCATAAAATTCGCATTAACTTTGGTTCTCCTTATATTGAGCGTAACTAATTCAGAGATTTAATTAAAGATGACCCATTTAAATTTTGTTGTTTTGAGATTAGTAGCGGAGAAATATACTTACACAACAGCACAAAATGAAATGAGATGCAATCAACGAAATCACGAAAAGATCTGATAAACTACATAAGCTGTTGGCCTTTAATACTTATTATATACCCATCCGATTAGAAACCAACCGACTACAGAAGTTAATCAAGCCAGTGGCGGGTCAGAATTTGTCATACACTACGAAACCTTCGATTACAAAATATTTCAAGAATGAGACAGGTCGTTAAATATTTAAAAAAGGATAATAAATGTATATAATAAAAAAAATTGGACACTTGGTCCATGGTAACGACGCCCCTGAGCTCGTGTCACGTTATCTGTCCATCCTTGATTTGCCACGTCGATAATCCATTAATTGGTCAACCATACATACATTTCTCTACCAGAAGCCCTTTACTTCAATTCTAATTACCAAGCTGTTCTCAATTTAGCTAATGAAATATGCCTTCTACGCATTATTGTCGCCTACATAGATACTTATTCACATATCACTACCTGGAGTGTAACGAGCTGAAAAAAATGTATGCAAACGAATTTCTCCCCCTCCTCACTTTTCAAATAAGGATGTGTCAACGGCTGAATTGCACACCCTTCGAATTTCACCAGCGATCGGGGCGATTCAAAATAATCAAGGTCTCACGAATAATTCGCATTTTTAAATTGCAAGGCGTTCTGAGCGTGATATACTGCGCAGCAATGTTCCTGAACATTTCCTTCGGCCCTCTGACGTTGTCCAAAAAATTGCAGGGTCTTGTGTTATTTGTAGCTTGCATTACTGCATCAATTGCAAGATGGAATTGGACGATAGATGTCGGTCCTATCCAAATCATAAATACATTTCTGGACTTCGAGGAAAAAATTCTGGAATGTAAGTTAAAATTTCTGTGAATTTGTTTAACTCTGTAAGATATTTATTCACATTTTAAACAGTGCATCACTAATTTCCACATTTTGCAAAATTCTTCGACTAAATTCGCAATTTATGTTAAAAACTTTGCAGTTGTTCCAAAAATGCAAATCTCGATGGGAACAAAAGCAATCAAGATCTTTATATTCTTGATACAAATATTCATGGTCGTGTACCCAATTCTCCTCTGGTTCTTACTGCGATTTCTTCCCTGCACTCCGCCCTTTATTCTCTCAATGTTTCCAAATTGTGGGCGCAGCAAGTTTGGGACACTAAAGTATGGAGTAGAACTTGGAGTACACATCTTTGAAACTTGGATGACTTCTCACACCTTATTATCTGGAACAACTTGGATTATCTACATTCTCTTCGTCGGAATATGTTTCATACTACACTACTTCCAACTGCTGAACAGGTTATTTTCCATATTAAAAAAATATTCAACCCATAGAAACAGCAAAATAGGGTCAATAATAAGATGACAAAAAGCCTCTCAAATCTTCAACGCACTCCTCACGACGATGGGTAGCTCTAGATTGATTTTAAATGCCGTCCAGAGAAAGTGATAGAACTTTGTAAATGTCTGAAATTATTAATATGCATTATCATGAAAATATGCAGATTCTCGGACGTTGTTTCTATATATGTAGGTTCGAGTTCAGGTAAAATAATTTATTTCATTAATCGGTTTTATATTTTCAGAGAAATTTCAGAAATCAAAAACGACGCCGACATCACCACCTGCATCCGGCTCTATAGATAGTCCAAACTTTGGAAAAATCGGTCAACGCCTATGTGACGGAAAGAATCGTGCCAGTCATACTATCCTGCATTCCTGCCATCCAAATCGTCGGGCTATATGTCTGCATCACTCTGCATGAAGAAATTGCTCTTCCTGGATTCGCAATATTTCCCTTGCTAGCAATTGCAGCTACGATTCACAACATCCTCGTCATTACGTTGGCCGCCATGGTAAACATTTCCTCTAAAAGGGTATTGATCATATTGCGGTTAAAAATAGTTGGCTCCAATGAAGGAAAAATGAGAAAGCTCTTGCGAAGGGAGCTGGCAGCCTGTGGAGTCTTAAAGATCAAATTCGGTAATAATTTTATCGACAATGGAACACCACTTGTAATGCAGAATTTCTGCATTAACCAAACCATGTCGCTTTGTTTGGTTAAGGCGGGAAAAGTGATGATGTAGAAAAAATTGTCCATATCATTTACCTGGTCACCAACTAAAAGTATCTAAGTTTATTTGTGCTTATCTATATTTACTCACTGTACAGACTTTTAAATTTAGCCATAACATTATAACATAGTTATGCCTTAAATATGTAAAATAAATAATTTGTGTACATATTTATGTAGTTCTGCGAAATATTTATTAATATAAAAATAAATACAGTCGTATCCATTCCCTGATTGGTGGGTTCAGAAAGCTCTCAACCAATCAGAATGTAGGAATTTCACGCAAAATTTGACGGGACAGACGTTTCGAAATTATAATATAGATTTGTCACAGTTGTTACCATTTTTTTCAATTACGCGTTCAAATTTTTCCACCATACCAAAAATATACCAAGGCGTTTTTCTAGAATAATATTTTAGTATATCTTCAATTTTCCTAAATTTTTACCTATCGTATCTCTCGCGTTGGGAAATATGTCATACAATCGCTTGTAAAATTCAGCCTGATCCTTAACTAACTCTTGATCGCTTGCCTTCGGATATCTTAAAACAGTGAAGTCGACATCTTTCACCGATTCCACAATCGGGCAGCTGGTTCCTTCTTCCTCCGTGGGTAGAAATGCGTTCACATGAGAAAAATCATCCAATCTTGGGGAAACTTTCAAAACTTCCAGGACAGGAAAGCATGTTTTCTAATCAATCAGCCCAAAACTTCCTCCGTCTAGGTGACTTTCAAATTGCACTTTTGTAAACATGGAACTTATAGATAATATATTGGGAATCTTCAGTCCAGATATCGATATCCTTCTACTATCGTGCCACGAAGTAATATTGAAAGAAAGTTTTGGGCGAATTTCTCTTTAACAATTTGTACAGAATCGCTGGCATCTCGTGCACCAAGTCCTCGTCCATTTCAAAGAAAATTGGACTTACAATGGAACCTTTTTTCAAGCTACACGAGATACGCTTAGTGACCAATGTTAAAAAATCAAGCTAAAAATTACAAATGACGTGGTACTGATCTTTCCGTTGAATGGGCACTTGGAGGTCAAGTATTTGAGGGCAAAGTTCACAGTAGCGGCCTGTTTTTTCTCAAGCGGGCGAGCGGAGGAGTGAAAATTTTCTCCTTCGAGGTCACTTCGATCCCTTCACTCTCGCACGCTCGCACTTCATTCAATGCATATTATTTTTGACAAAATTTCACAATCTCGTAAATTTTCATATACGTAAATCTTCATGTACATAAGTTTTTATATATTTACTAATATTTTTGCTTTTTAAAGTCCTACTATCCACCAATCCGTAATAAAAAAAGTGACGATGGGTTCAATAAATTATAACTCTAACTTATTAACAAATAATTATAATTTAGCATATATATATTTATAGTAAATATAAAATTATATGAATGCATACACCAATTTTCGAGATTGTGAAATTTTGTCAAAAATAATATGCATTGAATGAAGTGCGATCGTGGGAGGGTGAAGTAGTGAAGGGAGCGGAGTGACCTCGAAGGAGAAAATTTTCACTCCTCCGCTCGCCCGCTTGAGAAAAAACAGGCCGCTACTGTGAACTTTGCCCTCAAATACTTGACCTCCAAGTGCCCATTCAACGGAAAGATAAGTACCACGTCATTTCTTATTTTTAGCTTGATTTTTTAGCATTGGTCACTAAGCGTATCTCGTGTAGCTTGAAAAAAGGTTCCATTGTTAGCACAAGTCTCTTCAAAAACCCTGGAATATTCAACAAGCATTCCATCCTTTTGACATCCAAATATCCCCCTAATTCTAAAGAATTAAGTGATCTGGAAATTAATTAGTAAACGATTACTTAAATCCTTGCAGATTACGAAGCTAAAGCGTCACTTACGACGGAAATTTATCCAAGAAGCCCAACTCCGAAATCCCAAATAACTGGGAGCTTTAAATTTTAAGATGCTCTAAACATGGGAACGATTCTGCAATAGCTTGACCAATTGCTTCGAGAGGTGCGTATCCAGTATCATCGTCCCTGTGGAACTGTAGCTGCTTTAATTTTGGAAACACGGTGCCACCAAGAATTGGAAAATGTTGGTCTTCAACCCATTCAAACTTTAACTCTTCGAGAGTACAGCACGAGTCGAGTATAATTCTGTGCAAATCCGTCTGCCATTTTACGTCCTTTTCGGTCATAAACCAGGCAAAAATTGATTTTAGGTTCTTCATTGTTGGGAAGATATTAAGATTCTCGAGCAGCGTGGTTTGTCCTGGACGTTGGAAAATTTTCAGACATATTTGCGGGGGAGAAATTCATTCTTTCTAAAATGTTCTCCCAGATTTCGTCTTTTGTAGATGAGGCTGGATACCGTGACCACCCGGGATAAACTTCAATGTTTGTCATGGTCCACATCTTTAGAATGGGTGTAGCAAAATCATTCCATGAATGGCACACCAGACGACAATTTTGTATGTCTTTGATCCCAAGGAATTTGCACAGGTGGGGAATTACCTGCAAAACCTGACACTTTTAGGAACACTGGAAAAGAAGTTTGGAAATTTATGTATGAATTTTGACTCAAATATTTTGAATTTTATATCTGAAAAAACCCGAAACATAATAAATACGTATAAGACAAGGATATCCAAATTGTAATGACTTACTTCAGATTCTTCCTCAGGCAGCATAGTTAACAATATTTTGAAGACTTCACTTTTCAGATCATAATAATAAATAACTGAAATTTAAATTACTTTACCAACATCTGTGGCGGAGATATATTTTTATGTCTCATGGTTGAGAAGTATCCCGATACACAATCAAATTCGGTCCGAATGCGTTCCACGGGTGGCTAACGAATTCGGCCCACATGTCGGATCTTGCCGCAAAAAAGCCTTCGCTCCGAATGCGTGATCGGAATTCGGTCCGAATGCGTGACCGGAATTCGGTCCGAATGCGATTTTCAGCATTCTATGCGCTTTTGGAATGCAGCTTTCTATCCGCGTGCTATATTTTCCATTCGCTCCGAAGGATATTTCTCGCAAATAATAATTAAAATACACAAATTTAAGGTTGACAAATCATTTTATTTTATTGAGTGTAGCAACGGAATACATATAAACTTACATTTATAAGGCATCCTAATATATTTACAAATTATATCATTTTGTTTAATATGTAAATATTCTTGTTCGGATACGTTTGAAGCTTCAAAAACTCCTAACTTCGAGCTATCAATTGGATAATCTTTCACGGGTTTGATGTCTCCAAAAATTTGACAACTAAATTTAATATTACTATCATCCTTCTGAAAACGACGAATTACAACAATTTTCCCTGAACGCAGCATGTAACAGTTATCACCGTTCTTACAAATATTTTTAGGAGACAACACATTATGACAATATTTACTAAAACCTACATTAGTATCGATTTGCAGAGCTTCTGCTTCCATTAGTCGTTTAAAAACTTGCTCTAAATGATAATTATGCGAATGAATTAGACTTTTAATTTTTTGCATGAAATTTTCAAACGGAAATGTGCTAGCATTATCCAGTGCGCCAAAAAGGTTTGCATCTTCATTAATGTGTAGAAGCCCATGCAAATTATACACAGCAAATTCCTGTCCATAAAGTGAGATGCATTTCTCCACAAACTTTTTTAACAACTTCTTAGCCACTAAATTCCATTCAATATTATCGGCTTTTGGGGATAACAAAATTAACAAGGCAACATGGAAGCGTAAAAAGTTTTTATATTGAACTTTCGGAATTATTCCTTTAAAGACTGCTACTCCTGTGTACAGTAAAAGCGTTCTAAATTCTGTCCCTTTATAGTGATCAATGTGATTGATTCCTCTTGGCTTTCTTTGAAACTCAGAAGGAAAATAAATTAACAAATTATTCAATCTTCCACTAATTAATAATATATTCCTGCTTTGTAGACGGTGGGGTAATTTGCCTTTCACCCACATGCGAGTTAATTTTCTTGTAATCCCTAGACATACAAGATGCAAATAGTCTAAAGGAACTTGTGATACAAGACCAATTTTCAATTCAGGTAAAATTGTATTTCCTGTGTGATGAGATTTATCCGTCTGCAACCTGAAACTATCATCCGTTCTGCTTGGGAAATTACCTTTGCAATATCTGACACTATGCATCCACTCACCATCTTCTAGACATTTTTCACACGCGTGATAACTGTTATGATTTTTACAAGCTTTTATGAAACTTCTAGCGGGAGCATCAGCTAAAATACGTGAAACCCTGAAAGAGTAATGCATATCCAGAGAGATGCCATCCCTTTCTAAAGTTTTACACTCATTTACAAAGTCAGTTAAAAAATCTAAATTATTTGGTTTCGACTCTCCATAAAATAAAGCTATAACAAAAGGTGTCGAATTAAAGGATTGATCAACACTACCTAGTATGGGCCAAAATTGTTTATTGGTGCTTCTAGTTAGAGGAATTCCATCAATCCCTACAGAAAGGCTAATTAATGGACTATTAACCTCTGATTGCAATGTGCGTAAAATCTTGCTGGAACTATTAAAATTTTCCTTAATCCCGTACTTCATCCTGATGAGCATATTCTTTCTAATTCCAAAATAAAAATATTTACCTCCGCTAATATTACAAGTGCGAATTTTAGCTGGTGTTCGCATGAGAGTTCTCGAGTCTAACGGTAAAGTAGGAAAAGTTTTTTGCCTCTTAAATAATTTCAAGAGCTCACCAAGAGCGAAATGTTTAATGTTATGAGCTAAAGCCCACTTCCTCAATTCTAAATCAATTGAAACAATTTCTGTAAGTTCTGTCGCATCCTCGCTACAATCTGAATCTGAATTTGAATAACGATCTAACGTATCTACTTCTTGTAATTCTAAATTCTCATCACCTGCTTCATTACTAATTGTACCACTTAATCTACTATTACTATTATTTACAACAGCTGGGTGATGTACACTGACACTATTAACAATCGAACCGACTGCTGGGACCCTAACACTATTCAAAAATTCATTCACGGCCCGTCGATGTTGCCATCTTGCTGTTCGTTCGGGAATCTGCCTGTTGAACATTCTTCCTTATTTCGTTGTTTACGTCCGCCGTCTCGATCTTTAGAATTCTTCAGCCACCTCTTGGTAAAATCGTCAATTTCGCTGTTCGTTAACTCACGAGTAGAACGATTGAGCCGAACAGTTTCTGTGAAACGATGAATTACGAACCAAAGTTATTAATTGTATCGAGAATGCTAACTCCTGATTAAAATTTGATTCCATACCATAGAGCACCTGTTGTAACTTCGAGTCTTTCAATCCTCGTTTAGCACATTTGCCTGCTCCAGTAAGGCTGATTATTTTAGCCAATTTGTCCAACAGTAGCTGTTCTAATATTCGGGTTACAATTTCGTTAGGATTTTTACCACCAAGATATCGTAATTTTTCGACCTACCCAGACAAATTTAGTTGATTAAATTTATGAAACTAACAAACATTAAAATTTTTTCTCCTCACTATATTTGAAAACATACCAAAATAGTTTTAGTTTGATTACTTTTCAACCAATCGTTTAACAAATCCAAACCTTCTGGAGTAGACAACGGAATGTCCGGTCGATTTGGATCGTCTTCTAGAGGAGATTCGTCGATTGTTCCAGCCGTTCTCCTTAATATCTCTTCCTGATGACCTCTAATTTTAACCAATTCTTCTGTTACTTTTGTTTGAAAGGCTAGAACCAAATGTATAAAAAATGTGAATCAAAAATTATCGAAAAGGAAAAATTAATCGATGATCAAGAAAACGAATGATTTTACCATTATTCTCGTACTTGAAATTATTAATCAACTCGGTCAGAGAAGCAAAGAGTGGCACCACGTCAACCGCTGCAAAAATTTGAGATTCCGGCTCGTTTTGCGACAAATTTACAATTTGCCCTCCTAGTGATGCTGCTGGGGGGTGATGAATCGGGGAAGACAAATTGACAACTGTTGAGTCCACTGAAACAAGGGTTGGTTGACGACGGGGTTGAGGGTCACTGCCTGGATTTTCAATTACAGTTGACACTAAATTAAATTGGAATCGTTAATAATATACCAAGATCGTAAATTTGTGCAAAAAATAACTCATATTAATTTTACCAGAATTAATCAAATTGACAAGACCAGAGACGACAGGATCACCTCCAGAACTGACTTCCTCTTCCGAATTGCCTCCCGAATCCGTACTTGGTGTAACAATTTTCACTGCCGCTGCTACCTTATTCTTTCGCCTGCGTCGTGGCGGTGGTCTGCCTTTAGAAAATCCAGCTATCTCAACTTCGGATGATGATAATTTGTCACTCGTCCGGGCGGCATTCGCTGATTTTGTCGCACTTTCAATTGTACCTGCAAAAGTGTGTACATAATTAATCAAGTAATGATGATGGAAGGAAGTGAAGCCTCCATTTTTTAACTATTTAAAAATGACGAATCAAACAGTAAAATAGAAACTTACTTGAAAATTTAAGAAGAGAGCATTGGTATTTTTCCCAGGTCACATCCGGAAGAATATGATTAATTAATTTTTGATGACTTCCTGGACCTGATGGCCAATAACACTGTGTATTGGCAGCACTTAACCAGTTTGCTGACACAACTGAAACCAACGTTTTATCTTTTTCAATGAATTCAACAACGGCAAAAGGTTTACTCTTTAAATTATTCATTGTCAGAACTGTTTTCTGGGATGTACAAGCGGAGTGAAATGAGCGACTGGTGCTAAGAGCGAGGAAGGCATGGCATGGCAACACTTTTAAACCCCCGCCACTGAGCTGAACTCGCCCCGTATTCGGGCCGAAGTCGGCAGAAGAATTCCGATTGCGAGAGAAAATCCGAATTCTGCTCGATAGCGTAAACTTTTCGGTTAAACGAAATCTTTTTTTAGCTATGAGACAGAAGGTGGCCCACCCGCTACTTTGAGTTACTACATGGAATCTGAAATTAGAAATCTATCCATAGTCGTAATTGAGGCGACAATTTCGGCCGTCTCTAAACCGAAAAAATCGTATGCGGGGCGCATTCGGACCGTATTTGATTGTGCATCGGGATATCTCATCGATACATACACAGAATAAAAAATACAAATCGTCGGCCTAATTCTAAAAACCCCTAAGTGCAGTCTCATCTTAATTTTAAATAACCCTAAGTGAGACTTCATCCTAGTTTTAAAAACCCCTAAGTGCTGCCACTAGTTAATTTTAAAAAGCCCTATGTGATAAATAAAAACGAGTAAAAAGCCTTAACTGTAATTCAAATTTCAAATTATGCATAATTAATTAGTTCTGATAAACTAATCAGAGTATCATACAGTGATACTCTATGATTACAAATTAAATTTTGAAAATATTATGCAAAGCTTCACTGGGCTATTCACAGTGGGTGTGGCCGTAGGCGCCTTTTCGATTTAAATGACACCATGTCATGTGATATATCATTTTTCTCAGGACGCTGAGGACATTACGCCTGAATACTTCAAATTTACGAACCACACCCCCAGTGGGTGTGGTCATCTGCGACTTTTCAATTTTGACATAACCATGTCATGTGATATGTCATTTTTCTCAGCTCGATGAGGGGATTTCGACTGACAAGGGAACCTTAACTACTGTCCCATCTCGATTTCCTTCGTAATAGCCTTAATCGACAGATAATTTAATGAAACTAAAACTTTGTCATAGAACATGCGGTGCAAAATCACGTTTTCGCGAAATATTTGGCGAAAGCTGCACCAAAAACCTGCATTTTCCCAATGCTTTTAACATAGCCCCAGCGTTTCGAATGATGAAATAAACTTTATAGAATATTGAAAAAATATTTATGTACCCATCCGCGTAATTTCAGCCCCATCACGAATATGCAAAAAGTGGTGCAAACATTTGCCAATTTTTTGCAAATTGCGAAAATCGGAAAAATTTCGCAAATTTGAATTCTTCGTTCCTTTAAATTCAACAAAATTTTAACTAATGTAAAATGGAATTTTTTTATTGCAAAAAATTTGCAAAAATTTGCAAAAATTGAAGTACGCAATTTTTCAATTTTTCATTATCGTTTCATTATACAAACTAAAAAATTATCATTTACATACATATGCATCTACGAATGAAGGAAAAGCTTATTTGTTTAACAACTAAAAATCTAACTAATTTTCATGAAAAATTGCGAACTTCAATTTTTGCAAATTTTTGCAAATTTTTTGCAACAAGAATATAGTATTTTGCATTAGATAAATTTGTTAATTTTGTTCAATTTAAATGAACGAAGAATTCAAATTTGCGAAATTTTTCCGATTTTCGCAATTCGCAAATAATTTGCAAATGTCTGCATCGCTTTTTGCATATTCGTGATCGGGCAGAAAGTACCCGGACGGGTACATACATATTTTTTCAATATTCTATAAGGTTCATTTCATCATTCGAAAGGCTGGGGGCTATGTTAAAACCATTAGGAAAATGCAGGTTTTGGTGCAGCTTTCGCCAAATATTTCGCGAAAACTTGATTTTGCACCGCATGTTCTATGACAAAGTTTTAGTTTCATTAAATTATCTGTCGATTAAGGCTATTACGAAGGAAATCGAGATGGGACAGTAGTTGAGGTTCCCTTGTGAGTAACTAAAATTTCAAACCACACCTCCTGTTAGTGTGGTAATCTGCAACTTATCAATTTTGATACAACCATGTCATGTGATATATCATTTTTCTCAGCTCGATAAGGGGATTTCGACTGAGTAACTAAAATTTCAAACCACACCCCCTGTGGGTGTGGTCATCTGCGACTTTTCAATTTTAACGAAACCATGTCGTGACATCATTTTTCTCAACTTGGCGATAATATTTCGACAGAGAACTTATATTTTACAAACCACACCCATCTGGGGTGACTCTTGGCGACTTTCGATTTTTACACCACCATGTTATGCGATATGTCATATTTCCCAGCTCGATGAGGATATCTGGAAAGATTTAACGTTAAAATTGAAAAGTCGCAGATGATCACACCCACAGGGGGTGTGGTTTGGAATTTTAGTTACTCAGTCGAAATCCCCTCATCGAGCTGAGAAAAATGATATATCACATGACATGGTTGTGTCAAAATTGAAAAATCGAAGATGATCACACCCACAGGGGGTGTGGTTTGAAATTTTAGTTGCTCAGTCGAAATCCCCTCATCGAGCTGAGAAAAATGACATATCACATGACATGGTTATGTCAAAATTGAAAAGTCGCAGATGACCACACCCACTGGGGGTGTGGTTCGTAAATTTGAAGTATTCAGGCGTAATGTCCTCAGCGTCCTGAGAAAAATGATATATCAAATGACATGGTGTCATTTAAATCGAAAAGGCGCCTACGGCCACACCCACTGTGAATAGCCCAGTGAAGCTTTGCATAATATTTTCAAAATTTAATTTGTAATCATAGAGTATCACTGTATGATACTCTGATTAGTTTATCAGAACTAATTAATTATGCATAATTTGAAATTTGAATTACAGTTAAGGCTTTTTACTCGTTTTTATTTATCACATAGGGCTTTTTAAAATTAACTAGTGGCAGCACTTAGGGGTTTTAAAATTAACGAGAGACAGCACTTAGGGGTTTTTAAAACTAGGATGAAGTCTCACTTAGGGTTATTTAAAATTAAGATGAGACTGCACTTAGGGGTTTTTAGAATTAGGCCGACGAAATGGCTGTTATCATAAGGCACTTGAGATAAAGTGATTCGGACCTTTTCCAATGCACCGTCACCGCAGCTTTGTCTCCTATACATACGTGAGTATGGATTTGTCGCATTAAGCATTTATACATACATATACTCATGAAAGCGTGAAATATGTACATAGTGGGGTCATAAGTTCTCGTGAATGCATTTCCGGTAATAAATCCCAAAGTATTAGAGCTATCTGTTCGAAATTTTTATGGATTAACAAGGTATTAATATTGTTTAGAAATCATAACTTCTTTGTCAAGATTTCGTCCACGGGCAATTAGACAAGACATAACTCGTGACGGCCACAGGTCGATCGTGGTACGCGCCAATTTTCGTGCCAAAAGTATTTCAGACTTTTCACCGTTGGCAAAAAATTTAATAGAAAAAAAGGCCAGATATTTGTTGTACAGAAGTCTAACATCCGTTTAAGTATGCGGAAGTCAATACGAAGTCATCACCGTGGTGTGAATGGGAGCAAGTTGGCTGGAGAAATGAAATCTCTGTTTTTTACCGCAAAGGGTACAAGTTGAAGCCAAGAATTATTTTCAGAGTGTCCTAGAGACAAACGTTAATAACCTGAACCCTGGACCCTCCGAAAATCGCCATTGGACCTTTCAACAAGAATCTGCTCATGCGCAAGGTGCAAAATTGTCCAAAACTGGCTTCAGACGAATTTTCATGACTTTTTTTCATCCGTAGAACGGTGCTCAGTATCTGCAGACCTTAATCCCCTAAATTATGACTGGTGGTCAAAATTATAGGTACAAGTATGCTCTAAATTTCACCCAAGTGTGGAAGGGCTGAGGTCGCACTTACTGAAGATCTGGCGCTTTTCCCTGGAAATCCGTGCGTGCCGCGATCGAGCAGTTTTCGCCACGACTTATGTCTTGTGTACAAGCCCGTGGAGGAAATTGTGAAAACGAAGTTATGATTTCTAAACAAGATTAATACCTTGTTCATCCACAAAAATTTCTATCAGATAGCTCTAATACTTTGGGCTTTATCACCGGAAATGCATTCACGGGAACTTATGGTCGGACTATGTAAATGCCAAATTGCAGTAGATGACTTTACTCGCGAAATTTACAGCTTCATGGGAAGCTAAATACAGAACGTCCACCAATTTAGGGGACTAACGCAATAAAATTATAATAACTTGATACACAGTTAATGTAATTTCAAAAAATTTACATATGTTTACTATCAAAGAGCTTGAATTACCATACAGTTAAGAATTGAATGATTAAATTCCGCTACCTTGTACAGACTCTATTTTCTTGTTAGGATTTCGCATCAAATTCCGCACAGAGGCTGCACCTATTTCCAAGTTGATTTTGGTCCATCCGTTTTTAAATTTTCTAGAGGTGTCTGGCGTTTCCGAAAGCTTGGAATATTGGGATTTAGTCAGCACCCAGAATTTCTCAATTGGTCGCTAATTTAACCTTTAACTAGAATTATTATGTTATGTTTAGTATAAAATAGGTTATTGTAATCAATATTATAATGGATCCTTTATAATGCTACATCTACATGAGTCTGTTGCAATTTAGTATTGAAAAGCCAAACACGACGTGATTTTAACCATGGACAAATGACGCATCCGCACCAACGGTGCAAAATTGTAAAACAATTATGCACTTATTTGGTTCGCTTATTCAGCAACTTTTTGTGCAAACTTATGTATATCAAATCATTATAACAGGTTGAGCTATTTCTAATGTTACAACGGTTTATTCATTACACAACGGTCTCAATATTAAAACTGATGCGATTTAAGTGAGAATGAATTTGTACACTCAAAATAAGGTAGTAATGAATCATTACCATGCGGAATGACTATGTGTCTCTACCACGTCGGTTACGATTTGTCGTCGAAATGGTAATAATAAGTTCAGGGAAATTCAAATTCATTACCAATTATTAAGGAAGTGAATACCATTATGTATTAAATTTTAATGTCCCTGAACTTATTGTTACCATTTCTACGACAAAGCTTAACCGACGTGGTAGAGACGCATAGTCGTTCCGCATGGTAATGATTCAATACTACCTTATTTTGAGTGTAAGTGCACTGAGATTAGAAAAGGTAAGATGAGAAATGTACCAGAAGTTAGTGGTATAACTTACAATGCGATGACGCCAGCGGTCTCGCTTCGATTTTGATAAAACATCGATAATTATGTAGCCTTAGGTAAATAATTGAACACATGTTTCGGGATTTTTCATAATGCTCAGTTTAAACAAAGTTATGATGGTATAAGTGGACGAAAATTCGCATTTTTCTCGTGAAGTTTTTCTTTTTTTGTTTTTGAGGGAGAAAAATGCGAATTTTCGTCCACTTATACCATCATAACTTTGTTTAAACTGAGCATTATGATAAATCCCGAAACATGTGTTCAATTATTTACCTAAGGCTACATAATTATCGATGTTTTATCAAAATCGGAGCGAGACCGCTGGCGTCCTCGCATTGTTAGCTAGGTACATGTGTCTCTCCCTACTCACTACTTCACTACATACCGGCAGATATTCAACATCAACCGAGTGTGTGGTGGCGACTTTACTCACAGCTGGAGAAACAATAACACAGAGCTTTGATTGTAGTATTGCAACTTATTAAATTGAATCCTTATTAATTTTCCAGCAAACATTATACGCTTCTAAATATGGAAGAACTATTGCAAAGAGTAACTGTTTTAGAGGAAATAGTATCCGAAATTGCTAAGTGGATTCATTTCATACCACGTAAGTAATTTATGTCTTCCCATTTTAAAGTTAAGTGTTAAAGTGTAGTATAAATTTACTGGACATTCTAAATTTTCTAAATTAACCCGAACCCATAACTTCTTTATGAAAGTATTATCTCGAGCATAAGTACATACATAATACACATACCGCAAAGTACAATTTATAGGTTAAAACAACAATGGGGGCACTCACGTCACTTTAGTAAACGTCGTCGTAAATAGAGTAAATTTACTAAAATTCCAAGCTTGCAAAGCGTCGTAAATATATGTATGGTTAAGACGCCTTTTTTCGTAAAAAAAATTCTTAAGAAATGAAAATCAAGATATACATATCTTTAAAGCACCATAGTTCTGATGATGGTAGGTAGAGGAATTTCATTATTCTCAAAAATATGCATGAACTTTTAAGAAATTTATTTACGGAACGTCTTACAGGTTAACCTTTCTCCAATATGCGAATATTTTTTTCTACTATTGCGTAGTTACGATTGTCGTGAAATCGTCAATATAAACTCCGCTTATTGTCCAACAAGTGTATTTCAGGGATATCTATATAAGGGAGCGTCCATAAATCACGTGATCGATTTTTTGACAATTTTGACCCCCTCCCCCCCTTGGTGAGCGGTGGTAATAATTTCGCTACCCCCCCCCCCCCATCGATCACGTGACAGGCGATGATGCTCAAATTAAATCATGTTGTCCGGAATAACAATAATATTCCAGTGTTTTTTAAATCATTAATGAAACTAGGGCTATACACATGTGTAAATAACTATTTAATACGCCAATCAGACAAAGAATTTGAAGTCGAAGAAAGTTTCTAAATATGCAAAATAAAAATCAAACTTATATAATGTGCGTGTGGTATGCCATGAGAGTTTATATATAACTCTCATAACATTTATAGGCATATACAAAAGTTAAAAAAACTTTACTCATGTCACGTGACATCTGACGATCTACCCCCCCCCGGTAATAATTGGTGACAAATTTCAGACCCCCTCCCCCCCCTCTAATCGATCACGTGATTTATGGACGCTCCCTAACGTAAATTTGCTTACGTAACATGATTATTTAAACCCATAACAACAAGTTAATATCACTCGTGTATTGCGTTCTTCTTATTACCTAATTTTAGATAAACGTTCCAAGTATTGCGAGGAAACTAGCAAAACCGATGATGAAACTACCCCTCAGCCATTTAATATCTCCCAGAGTAATGTGCAGGATCAAGTTGATATAGAAGAAGGAATTAAAATCGAACCGGACGGTGGTCATCTCGTCGATTTGTTTCCATCTGATAACGAGCAAAGTTCAATTGAAGAGGGAAGTCAATGCAATAAAAACCTGCATGACCCACTCGACCTGTCTGGCCTTGACGATGAGGATTCCATGCTGGAGGTATAATTTTACTGTTAAACAAATTTAAAAAATAAATTTTGTATGTCCGCACTACTATTCCACATTAACTGCTACCCAATTAAATATTTCTAGCTCAGTGCTCCCCTTGATGAATCACTTGAACCAAACCACGGTCTCACAATCAGTCAGAATACCAAAAATAAAGGCAAGTCAAGAAATCCACTGCAATGCCATGATAATTATGATCACGATACAGACGGGCGAGCCGAGCTGCCCACAACAGGTGACGACAGGTTGAAATATTCACAATGGGCGAATTCACAACAACCTCTTATTTCGCAACTCATTTAGCAAACTTTAGCGAATATTAAAATATATCTGAGGCGGTTCGCAAAATATGACTTCGTAAAACTCTCCAATCTCGAAAATCTACTAAGAACACCTATTTCGGTATTGTTTCCATATATTTCTTTAATTTATCTTGCTGGCGATGGTGAGAATGAGTTTGCGAAATAATGTTGCGAAATAAGAACATGTCCTATTACGGGGTAAATTTGAGAAACAAAATCCTATAATTTCCCAGGAAAATTTTTGCGAAATCTCAAAACTTTGCATGTAATGTTGCTACGTTCAATTTGCGTGATATAAGGTTGACGTGAGTACGCTCAATACAATAAATTTACCTAACCTGTTAATATGATTTTTGTAGATCTCGAAACACCTAATAGACCCAAGCGGTATAACAAATTAACTAAACAGTCCGACGAAATTAATGAGAATGGAGCAAGGAACTACGAGAGTAAGCAAAGCATACATAAATATTTAATTAATTCACTAATATTCACAACGATACCTAGAATTTTGTCGTAGCAACTTGACACACAGTGATGATAAGATAATTCAATTTTTTACAAAAATAGGAAACCATGTACTTGATCACGGCCTTTCGACAGGAGAACTGAGTGACGACTCCTCAGATATTCAACGTGTTAAATTGGACTCAAGCTCACCCACAGAATCTTTACTCAGAGAATTCAGAAGTGAGTCAAAACTTAATATTTTCATATTACGTCTTCTCTAAATTAAAAAAAATAATCTAGGATTTCGAGGCCAGTCCTTGAAAAATCAAGACATGTTGTTGGAAAAGATGACATATCTTGAAAAGCTTGTAAAACAATCAACAACCATACCAAGTTCTTTCAGTACGCGAAAAATTAATTGGCCAGCGAAAACCTTGGAAGAATTAGAGCACATCGAAACATTACTGGAAGATCAATCCTATTACACTCAAGAAGTAAGCAGTAAGAAATATAAAACATTATTCGGTAACTGTTTCTAATAGATTCAAATGTTCCCGTCCTATCCACCTGATTGTCAAAATATGGTAACATTAGTGACATCAGTTAAATCTTATACCAAATACTTAGATTTTGTAGCAGCCTTGATTCGGGCAATACAAAGCTGTCCTGGAAATTTTTTACCTTTATTCCCATTTCAGGTAGCCAATCTGTCGAGGAAGGGTGGGTCGTCCTTGTCCAAGGATGTATACGACATGCTTCATTCCATGATTACGAACGATCTCAGGAGCAAAATTAGGTACACGGGAAAGAGTGACAAGATCCCATTTGCAAACCGATTAACAGCCAATCTACTTCGAGGTGCCTTATTTCTTTCTTATTTTGTATATTCACTACTTACCGCAAGCTGTACTCATTAGTTTTAACTGTGTAAATATGTACAACAGACTCTGTCAGAGCCACAAATCCGGACCCTTCCATGAAAGACTCGCAAATCAATCACCATATTGGCTGCTGGTTTCGTATGAAAGTTGCTTCAAACTAATGCGACTATATCTAACATCAAGCGCTGATAAGCAAATCGTCTGCAACTCAATGTCGTCCAAAGTGCAATCCCAGGGTTAAATAAGTAGTCTGACAATAATATTTTCAATGAAATGTACATAGTAGTAATTAAACCAATTAAAATTTTACAAAGATATGTAATTTGCCCATGTCTTTTCTGTTTGAGTAATAGTATCATCTATGCAACTCGACGAGCAATATTTCATTTGGTAGACACTAGTTTAGTCATTAGTACATGTTCCCAAGCACCTTGTTCCATAAATATATGGGTGGAAAATGTTCACTAGGTACCCAATCATACTTTATCCCATCACTTTCTTTATTTGCATATGTATCACATCAAACCCAGACGTCAGGAATGATTGAATCGAAGCACATTCGTTATTGACTTGGTAGGATGTATGTATAGGCATGTATGCAAACAATGAGTCCTCACCCCGCAAGTGTTTTATGCGTACATATAATGAGGTAAACACACTTAAAATACATATTTAACATGATTTAAGCATCGTCGGGCAGGTAATTTTTAATTGGCATCAATTGATGCAAACACCTCATAAACTGACAGACAGACGGACGGACAAGAGGAATTCAGTAGCTCTTATGCTACAAAGGGTGAGCTAATAATGCGAACAAATCTCCAGTGATATCTTGGCAGCAGCCTTGGTATCCCTGCCCGGAATTATTAGAGTTGGTATATTTTAAGCGTACACACTCGGGATTTCATATTTCAATTCCGAGATAGTACCCCCGAGCTGATTTTAGCTTAAAAAATCGAGTAAAAAATATGATGATTTCATCTTAAAGAATCAAGTCTCTATATCTGCCAATTCAAACTCCAATATCTGCCAATTTGGGTACACTTCCTCTAGGAAAGGAGCAGTAAAGTTTACTATTTGCAATTTGTTTTTCCCCTTTCCTATGCACCTTGACAGATTTTTTCTACCATTTTCCTACGAGTTTGTGCGATTTTCTACGATTTTTATAAATTTAACAACCCTTTCTGTATGACTATTGGGTAGTTAGTTTTTTGCTATATTTAAGTACTCTGTGATACATTTTTTTGCACATTAACAATTTAACGTTTCCTCAGTCAGTTTGTGCGATGGTCAGAATATTTGAAAGTAAGGTTGAGTTTTGCTTCCTCCGCCTGCTAAAAATCGCCCGTTTTTCAACTCTACCCTCAAATATTTTTTGCAAATTTTGACCATCGCACAAACTGTCTCAAGAAACGTTGGTTGTACTGACATGGACCACGTAATTTCAAAATTTCAAACAATTCGGACGGTTACACTTCACACTATCGCATTGTGAGTATTATGAAAAATTATGAATCAGTTGCTGAATTATTTATGTAAAGCTACATAATATGTATGGTTTCATCCCAATGTGCACCTAGAGACTCCAAATTTGGCACGAATTTACCTTGGGGCAATATAAATGCGGGACTTTTCTCTTTTTTGAAATTAGGGCCCGGTGACTTTGCGCAGGTCAAAATGCGCAGTATGTCATAGTTGTCTAAATATGGTCGTGTGGGGAGTAATTTGAAAGCTATGACTATTGCAATGCTTGTGAATCATTTAAGGACATGTCTAACCTGCGCAGAAGGTCATTTCGCAGATTTAAGGTAATTATACCGAATTCTTTATTTTATTTTATTGTTTTTGAATATGTTTTTAAATACGTTATAGAATTGGAAGGATTAATAAATCCACACTTAAATAAGCTGAAGGGCTACATGCAGCTTAAAATTATTGAGGAACAAATGAACACTGCTTTCGGAAGGAATTTATTTCCGGAATGTTTTAGGCATTAGGAACGTTTTCTGCAGCTACTTGTGTGTGTTAAACGTAGCAAACTTATTCCAAGGCGTGGAAAATGTTTTCCTGCTCAGTGTTTTGGTGGGGAGTGTGTTTGTTATCTTGTTCGCTGGTGGTCTGTGCGGAATGGCGTATACTTTTTTTAAACAGTATCAGTCACAAACCGATTTCCCCGAACGGGTGGGCGCCTGTAACGTTCCACTCGCCCATGGGACAGGTGGGTTTTATGGGTTTCCGTCTTGCCTGAAACAACGGTGTAGTACGTCGCTAATTCTTTAACTATTGCATCCATAGCAGTTACAATCATGTAACTTTTTTTCGCCACGGTTATTGCAACCGTCATTACCATCGGTTCCCTCGAATCTATGAAATCCTCGTCTGGCTTTACACTCATATTTGATGTCTCGAACATTTCAAAGTTTACCCCTTTAACTAGCATGTATTGGATAGTTTTTCAACAAGGCGAAAACGTACCAAAATAAATACATTTGTAATGAGTAAACCAACTCGGCGTCGACATTCTATGATAAACACTGGAATAGATACACCAATCAAACTACCCATTAGGATAAAAACGGTTGGCAATGTTCCCGAAAGTGTGGCAATATTTTTCGGTTTTAAAGCCTTGCTTTTCTCCATACTAATTGAAGCAGTGCGGTTAATATTTATTCTACGCAATTCTTGATTTTCTGTTAGTGTCAAAATTCCAGCTTCATTTAGATTTTTAAAGGTACCAAGAACCGGGGATGTCCATGCGTGTCGGAATAACATACCAGTCGGATTACTTTGCACTGTTTGTGTGCTCACAAAAAAATTTATGTCAGGATATTTTTTGGCTAAAAATTCATATTCGACTTTAATCGCAGACGATTTTCCTATGAACACTGTCTTCCCACATTGTACAACTTCGCCTTCAATTCTTCTCCGCAAAGCTGAATAAGTTGAATAGTTGCTCAAATAACTGAATCCCTTCGGGTAAAACGAGTGTCTTAATGAAAAGAGGTTCAATTCCCTAAACACTGTGAGATTACTGGACTTGGACGACGTCACCGAATAGAAAAAACTATACCCAAGGTTTAGCAGAACGGATAAAAATTCTGGAAGAACTTGTATTCCATTGTCTGGGTCTAATTGCGATAGAAGTCGGTAACACTCGCTATCTATAGAGGTGTCATTAATGTCAATCTTTGCCGAAAACATCCAGTTTAACGGTACTGAAATAGAAATCTTTCTAATCACCCAGAATGCATTCCAAAATTCTGACGTCAGGTGCGCAAAACGAACATTTCTATCTTGTTTGGCTAGCTTGGGCAGACCTTCTTCAAATATGTTCCCTAATTTGAGGGCCATTTTGAATTTATTTTGACAATCCAGCTGGTTGAAAGATACCGGATACGATTGTGCCCGTGGCGAATTTAATTCTGAGATCATAATTCCATTATAACCGTTGGTCAGCACTACAGTCAGGATGCCCCATACTCCCAGCAAGATTCTGAAGAAGGTGTGCTTCTCAATCCAAGTTGGTATAGAACCCGTCTCCTCGAAGAGGGAGGCTAGAACATACAGCCACGCGGAGAAAGTTTGTTGTTTCAATAGGCCCAGGAAACGTTGACACAGTGTCATTACTGCGATAAGTATGGCGATTGTTATGACCAAGACGAGCCAAAGTTCCGGTTGGAATGGGGTAAGGTAGAAGCCTAAAGTTATATAGGGCTCTGTGTAACATGTCAAAAACTGGTATCCCCCAACACTCCTCTGAATTATTGTAACGCCTATATTTGTAGGTGGATTTGCAGCATCAAATTGTACCTGAATAGTTCGAAAGTTGTAACACCGCGGATGATATATAACACTTATGTTGGCCTTTGCGAAAATTTGCAAAGTTAATCGATATAGGATTGTGCCGACGATTTCAGTCTCAACTTTAGGATGCACATAACTTGCCTTTCTAAATTCTAAAATGCACCACCTCGCCCACTGGGGTGTCTGTTTTTCAACCGTGGAAACATAGTTCCCTTCACTTAAATATATTTCAGGGAGGGACTTCACATGTGGGAACAACTCTATAATGGAACCCATAAATTCTGGAAAATACAACTCAAATTTATTACCCTGTGAAGTAACAATTATCGATAAAAAATAAAACAAGGGCTCTGGAAATAGAAATTTAATAATTTGTGGAAATTGTAGCTTATTTATGACTAAACTAACTACCGCATTTGTATTTGGTATGAAATGCGTTTTGTATCGTGAGTGTGACATGAATTCTTTAAGGTATAGGAAATTGGTTGAAGTAAAATGGATCCACTGATGTAGACCATCGGGCAAAGGAGTATTAATATTTGTGGCTCCTGGGCCCACGAAGATAAAACCTAATCGACAATAAGAAACTCGAGAATTCAGGATATCAAGTGCAGGAGGCAAATTTAATTCATAGCCAGTGTATACACTTTTAAACTCGTAATCTGGCAAGTATATATTAGTCGATACCATGTTTATATCGCTCAAAGACAATAGGCTGCTGTAATCTAAAGAATGCATTATTTGCAGGTCACAATGACTTAAGTTACCAAGCAAATCGTGAAAACTTGCTATTTTACTCGTGGTTGTGACATTGCTAAATTGTATTAAAATAATTATTACGTATAATAGACGAAATGGCGAATTATTTGAAAACATTTTATATGTGAAGTTAGAGAAATTAAACCAACCTAACCCAACCATGAAACTCGATGTCCTAAACTATATTTACGTATGTATCAGATACTAATAAGATTATTACGCTAACGTGCGTTTGCTTACAGTAAAATGTGTGCCAAGTATGTACAAGCAAGGCGTATTTTTTATCGGAAACTTTTGTAAAACATGTTTCCTGGCTAACTGTGTGATTCATTACTTTCTGTCAGGAACGCTAATCTTCATGAAATGTGTGACAAATGAATATTCAAAGTTATAAAAAATCTTTTCATTCAAAAAATATCAAGATAACTCTAGAAGCGAATTTATGTAATAGGATGTACAATTTTTATTGCTAAATAGTAGAGCTCGGTACGTTAGTTTCAGTAAGCCTTGAAAAGATTGAGCACATTGCCGTTCAGAGACTTAATAATTTACACTGGTTTAGAATACCAGTGTAATACCAGTTTGTTTGTTACCATAAAAATTTAAAATTTAGTTCAAGCAGTTTGAAAATTTGTGGAACGTAATATAAGATGCAGCCACAAATTTAATGTATCCGCGATGGTCTTACTAGGGATACTTTCGAAGTGATAGTCGTGTCCAGGGTACCCACTATGTTTTTTCGAATCTACTAGGA